TAGCTCCTCCCCCGTGACAGGCTTCTTCCTGCTCCAGGCCCTTCGCACATGCTGGTCCCATATGGGCCCTCTGCCTGGAGCTGGGGGAGGGACGCCTCCACCCAGGGGTGGGGAAACTGTTTCTCATCCTCATCCCAGAGTCACCGGTTCCCTTCACTGCAAATCCAGCGTGATCTGTTTTCCTGCTTAGTCCTGACTGATGGTCCACCCATCTGCCTGTCTCCTGTTTATGTCTTGAAGCCCAGTTTAAAAGTCACTTCTTCCAGGAAGCCCTAACCATCTAGTTCGATGCTCTTCTCGTATCTGACAGGCTCCACTGTGTGCTTGGGGGAGGGTAGGGACCTCTGGAGCATGGTAAGGACCTTAGATTTTTCTCTGTGTGAGGCTGGAAGCCGTGGAAGAATTTAGAGCCGGGGAACAGCCTGATCTGACTTCTGTTTTCACACAACCCTCTGTGTTGAGGATGGACGGCAGGGGCCAAGACCAGAACAGGGAAAGCGTTTAGAGGGCTGTTGAGTTTCAGCAGGTGACAGGTGGGGGTGGCTCGGCCCAGGAGGTAGCAGGGGGCGTGGTGAGAAGTGGTCAGACTCTGAATGGATTTCAAAGTAGAAGCAGCCGGAGTCACTGACAGTCTAGACTCGGGTGTGCTGGGGTGAAGGGAGGGGTTACTGATGACCTCAGGCTTTAGCCTGAACAATGGAAACATGGCGTTGGCATTTGCCGTCACTGAGAAGTCTGGGGACAGGGCAGGGCAGTGGGGGCGTTTTGTGGTGGGGACAGGGAGAACCAGGAGCTCAGCTTGTGAAATGCCTTTAACAGCAAGACCCAAGCCAGCCACAGGCACTGACAGTCACCCACGTAATGTGCCCCTAAAGTTAGAGGATGATTGCGGGCATCGCGAGAGTAAGGGTGGGTACAAAGAAGCCACCCAGGAGTCGGGGCTTGGGACCCCCGAGGCTCAGAAGGAATCAGCTATGGAGACTGAGGAGGGGCAGCCACAGAGGTAGGACCAGAACCAGGAGAGCAGGGGCCGCCTGGCAGCCAGGGAGGAATGTACTTCAAGGACAAGTGGTGTCAGCTGTGTCAAATGAGCAGGAAGGCCTCCGACAGGTCGGGGAACGGCCCCGTGGAGTTAGCAGCGTGCGGGCCACGGGCGATGATGCTGGGTGCTCTGGGTGGGCAGTGCGGGCGTGGCTTGAGTGCAGGAGACTGAAACGACGGGGCGGGGGAGACTTGCTTGAGGAGTTTTGTGTTGCTAAAAAGGGAAGAATGGGAGAGTAGCTGGCGAGAGCGCTATGGATTTTTAAAGAGAGATGGAATAAGCGCATGCTTGTAGGAGCACAGGGGAAACTCAGCAGGAGAAAGGGTGACACTGAAGCAGCAGCTCTGGGGAGCTGGGGTGGCTTGGGATCCGGCAGGTGAGGGAGGGGAGGGCCTCAGTGGGCCCACTGCGTGCAGCAGTGCTGGGAAGGCAGAGCCCAGCGCAGGTGCAGGTGGAGGAGGAAGGTTTCTTTCGAGAAAGGAGGTAAGAAGGAAGCAAGGCCATTAGCCGACGATGAGGATGGAGGAAGGGTGGGCATCTCGAGTGATACCCAGAGGTGTGTGATGATGGGTGTCAGGTGCCAGCAGCCGGGTGGCTGTGCTTGTCCACTTGCATTCAGCTGAGAGCAGGTGCTGAGCAGAGGGGGAGAGAGAGGAGGGTGCGGAGAAGCCCATGAGTGAAGAGTGGCGTGATGTGATCTTTCCCAGAACCCGGGGCAGTGAAGGCAAGAGGTCAGAGGCCATGTGAAGGGGCGGCAGGGGCAGGAAGGCATACGAAGCCTCCTCAGGGTCCGGTGGGGAAGCTGTGGCTCACAGGCAGCTGAGGGGGAGGATCTGGGAAAGATCAGAGGGCCAGGAGTATGGGGAACTGCCAGAGCAAGACCCTGCAGCGGGCAGGATTCCCTGGGGACCGGGACACCAAGGGAGGGGCAGCTTTGGAGAGGGACAGGGCAGGGGGACCCAGAAGCAATGATCTTGGTGCTTTCTGTGCTCTTCAGGGAAGAGAGCAGCTATAGGGCAGGGTCTGTAGGAACTTGCAATTCCTCAGCCCCACCCAGCCCGGCGAGGCTGTGTATGCTGCAGCCCAGCAGGTCCTCTGCAATGTCCATTTCCCATGAGGTACTTCTTTCTTTTCTTTTTTCTTTCTTTCTTTCTTTTTTTTTTTGAGACAGGAGTCTTGCTGGAGTGCAGTGGCATGATCTTGGCTCACTGCAACCTCCGCCTCCTGGGTTCAAGCGATTCTCCTGCCTCAGCCTCCCAAGTAGCTGGGATTACAGGCGTGTACCACCATGCCCAGCTAATTATTTGTATTTTAGTAGGGACCATGCTGGCCAGGCTGCTCTCGAACTCCTGACGTCGTGATCCACCCACCACACCCAGCCCCCATGATGTATTTCTACACTCAGCTTCTCAAAACCAGACTTTTGTAGAAAGAGAGAACCTGCCAGCTCTTCTCTCCTGCTTGTCACTGCGAAGCCTCCATTCCCATCCCGTCCTCTACATCGCTCCGTTTGCTGGGACTAGGGAGGGAGCCCAGTTCCTAATTCACTCTCACTTGGGAAGAGCAGGTGGGCCACAAACCTGAAACCCACCCTGGAGCCAAGGGTGTCTGCTGGCAGGAAAAAGGTCTACCCAGCTGCTGGGCTTATGTACAGTGCGACTCCATCCACTGGGCGTGGGGCCGGCGAGGTGGGGAAACTCAGAGTCACTGCTGCTTGGGCTGATTTGTGTTGTTATTTAATTTATGGAACACGTGAATTCTAAATAATACTTGAGCCTTCTTTCCTCTCCCCTCTCATTCTTCCCTTCCTTTGTTCCTCCTCTCCTCCCTTCCCTTTCCCCCCTCTTCCCTCCTTCCCTACCTCCCTTCCTTTCCACTTTGTGATAAACATTTGCTTGGAGTCTGCTGTGTGCCTAAGAAAATCCATATGAAGGTGATACAACAGAAGCAGAGAGGAGGAGCTGGACCCCCAAGGAGCTCATCTGCAGCCTCCGCGGTGCTCCCCTGTGCTAACAGCATCCGGTTTTGCTCAATCTGGGGCAGCAATGTGCCCAGAGAGCGCTCCCCGGGAGAAGAGCTGAGACTGCTCAAAGCAACCTGGGCTGCCCTGCTCACCTGGTCTACCATGACCTGGCAGCAGGGGGTGGGCCTGTGACCCAGATCTCATAGGTGGGGCCTGAGAGAAAGTGGGCTGAAGGTTTAGATGCCTCCTCCCCAGGGAGATGAGGACATTCAAGAGATGGAGTAGCTCTTGTGCTTTCTCCCTGGAGGCTGTCGTGAGAGGATATAATCCTCCAATCTGTGGCAATCATCTAGGAACAGGAGAAAGACAGGTAAAGTATAGAAAAACTATCCTGAGGCCTGGTACAGTGGCTCATGCCTGTAATCCCAGCACTTTGGGAGGCTGAGGCAGGCAGATCATGAGGTCAGGAGATGGAGACCAGCCCGGCCAATACGGTGAAAACCCTTCTCTACTAAAAATACAAAAAATTAGCCTACATGGTGGTGGATGCCTATAGTCTCAGCTGCTCGGGAGGCTGAGGCAGGAGAATCGCTTGAACCCAGGAGGCAGAGGTTGTAGTGAGCCGAGATTGAGCCACTGCACTCCATCCTGGGCGACAGAGCAAGACTCCATCTAAAACAAAACAAAAAGCTATCTTGAGTCCCGGGATCACTGAGCTGCTGAATTAACAGTCCTGGGTCCACCTCCTACCAAATTCCTATTTGCAAAATAATTAACTGTCCTTGTTGTCTGCCTTCATTTCAGTTGGGCATTCTCATATTTTGTCACGAAAGGCATCTTACCTGCTGCAGCAACGAAGAAATAAAGAACTATGATTTTCTATCACAAGTGACTCTGGGCCGCCCGGAAGCTGAGGCAAAAAGGAGAAGCAGACGAATTGCCAAGCTCTCATTCTTAGTCAGGAAGAGCTTCTCAGGGAGTTTCAGCTTTTTTGGCCCCTAAATTCCTTGTTTGACACTAAATTTCCACATGGGAGTTTAGGAAAGGAACACCGGGATACATCATTGCTAGACCCAGGGTAACTGTTTTGCAGGAGAAGCAGTTTTTAAAGGCTCTTTCTTAAGAAAACTAGGATCTAGATATAATAAGAGAGTTTAAGTAGAGAGGCAGAGTAGGGTGGGGCAGCAGTGTGCCCAGAGAGCGCTCCCTGGGAGAAGAGCTGAGACGCCCTGCTCACCTGGTCTACCATGACCTGGCAGCAGGGGGTGGGCCTGTGACCCAGATCTCATGTGGGGGAACATGTGACCCTCTGGGTGGCCCCATGCCCTTCCCACCCCACCCAGAGGGTCACATGTTCCCCCAGCACAGAGTAGAGCTCAGTATGAATGAGCAGATACTGAAGAGACCACTGAGAAACTGAACACGAAGCAGAAAGCAGCGCCCAGAAGGACGTGGAGGCTGGGGCTGCAGGGGAGCAGAGGCCCCTGGCCCACAACTGCCCTGGGTGGCAGCTGTGAGTGGGATCTGGAGTCAAAGGGAGAGGAGAGGTCCTGGCTGGGGAAAGCCCTGGTTTGTAGAAACCTGGGCCTGAGTAAAGGTTTCTCGGGGATGGTGGGAGAGGGTTGGTGGGAGGCACAGGTCTAGTCTGTCCTGGGTTCTCCATGTCTCAGGCCCACTGGCTGTGTGTGACCTGCATCACACCACCTGCTCCTGGGGACCGTGTATGTTTATCTGTGCTCAAGAAGCCCCGCCAAGTCTAAGGAATGACTGTGTGTCCTATCAGTGTCTCTGTGCAGCCCAAAGTATCTGAGGGTTCTCCTGATAGAAATGTGGTATTTGGAAATTCAAATGAGCCAGGCAGTTACTTTAGAAAGAGCCTTTACCTTGCTGAGGATTCACAACAGATTTTTAATGAAAAAATGCTGTACTTCTGTACTTTTTCTGTAGGATATCAATAGATGCCACACACACATATACACAGACACAGCAAATATATCTGGAAGAATTCAATAGCTTTCTTTACTGCAATATGTCTCAAAGGCATTCATATCATATGTCATCAAATCTAAGAGACACCCTCAACTGAAAGAGGTGTCATTATTTAATGTATTTCTAGGGAAAAAAAAATGTCCAAGATGGAAAGTCTCACCGGAGGTGCCTCTCTAAAGATGAACAATGAAAGGCTCTACTGCCGGCTGGGCGTGGTGGCTCATGCCTGTAATCCCAGCACTTTGGGAGGCTGAAACTGGCAGATCACCTGAGGTCAGGAGTTCAAGACCAGCCTGGCCAACAGGGTGAAATCCTGTCTCTACTAATAACATGAAAATTAGCTGGGCATGGTGGCGGACACTTGTAATCCCAACTACTCGGGAGACTGAGACAAGAGAATTGCTCGAACCCGGGAGGTAGAGGTTGCAGTGAGTGAGACTGCACCATTGCACTCCAGCCTGGGTGAAAAGAGTGAAACTACATCTCAAAAAAAAAAAAAAGGCTCCACTGTCAGTACCGGAGAAATGAGAAATAAACCCACCATGGAGAGGAACAGCAAGGAAATCTTCAGGTCTCTGTCTTGGCCCTGGTGAGGGGAGAGAGAAATAGGGAGACATGCCTTGCACTGATCATTAGAACCATAAGCTGGTTCTCACTCTGGGGTTACAATACTCAGCAGATGCCCAAGGCATTTCAGGAGCCGAGTCCCCAGACCACTAGGCAGAAGCAAATACAAACCCTCTCTGGAAGATCTCAAATTCAGCCCAGGACAGTAGTGATTGCAAAACACCAATCGTGAGATGTTTCTTGATTTGGGGATGTTAAAACGTGAGAAAGTGTGCACCCAGGCAGAGATGAGGACAGCGAACCCTCATCCAGAGAAGGCCAGAGTATTCAGCCCTAACTACTCTATCCCACTGGGGAGCTCCTGGTCAGCAGCGGTCACTGTTGCCACTATTTATGGAGTGCTTGCTTGGTGCCAGGCTCTGCACATACAGCTCCTGTCGCCCTCACAACACCTCTGCATGCAGTAACAGCAGCACTACTACGACTTTCAGCAGAGCAAACTGAAACAACTTTCCTGAGGCTGCACACGAGTAGGTAACAAAGCTGGGCTTTGAGTCCACGCTCATCTCTGGTATCTGGAAGGTGATGTCCATCACGTTTTTCAAGGGATGCCACTCTGGCCTGCTGAACCTAGCGTATTGCCAACAATGCAATTGTTCAGTCAAGTGTCTATTCCCTACACAGAGGCAATTTCTGCATCAAAGTCTCTTATTACACTCTAGAAGGCTGTGCAGAGGCTCCTGCTGTGCCGTGTTCTTGGCTGCATAGGTATTCCCAGGCTCTGGCTGGACAATCCCATGCTCGCTGTAAAGGGATCAGTGGTGGGCATGAGAAGACATTATTCAAGGTCTTCTCTTTTCTGATTTGAGAAGATGTTAGCATAAATATCACAAAACTGGCTGGGCTCTCAGTGGTTCAAGCCTGTAATCCCAGCACTTTGGGAGGCTGAAATGGGTGGATCATGAGGTCAAGAGATTGAGTCCATCCTAGCCAACATGGGGAAAGCCCATCTCTACTAAAAATACAAAAATTAGCCGGGCATGGTGGTGAGCACCTGTAGTCCCAGCTACTCAGGAGGCTGAGGCAGGAAAACTGCTTGAACCTGGGAGGCAGAGGTTGCAGTGAGTTGAGAAAGTGCCACCGCACTCCAGCCTGGCGACAGAGCAAGACTCTGTCTCAAAAAAAAAAAAAAAAAAAAAAAAAAAAACACAAACTTCCAAAATATGACCAGGCTCCAATCACCTTTCTGGTCCATATCCTGTCTCTCTTGAGGCACAAAGACCTCAATTTACAGAATCAGCACCCCCCTTCCTCCCCACAGAGTGGTGTAGACCTCGGGGGCCATGTGGAGAGCTGGAGCCTGAGTAATAAATCCCCTCCCTGCAGGACGACTAGCCAAGTTTTATTACAGATCCTATCACAATGAAAAGGGCCAGTACTCCTGTGATTGAGCTAATCCTGTCACCGTGTAAATCAATAGGAAACTCACAGGAGGCGATTTGATTTAGAATGTTCATTTTGGGAAGCTGGTCTTTCTACAACATTGGAGTCAAGATTTTGCCGGGCACTTCCATGACAAATGGAAAGTTTGGCCCCAGAGGACCAGACTTGTTAATAAAATAAATTCAGATCTCTCCAAATAAAAATTCAGATGCATTTTAGTCTCCCCTCAGTTCAGCAGGCTGAATCCCTTAATCTACCACATTATTATGGAAACGCCCTTATCTCTGCCTGTCAAAATCACTGTGTTTCGGGGGCTCCGTCTTGGGAGGCACGAGCTGCTTTATAATTACTTAGCTGATGTGCAGTGTACACTATCTTGAAGCAGGCCATATACTCAAAGAAGAACAGCACCAGATCCAGGATGAATCTGAGGGGCATCCGGCCAGGAGGGGAAGAAGAAGAGAGATAACACATGTTGCCCAGACATACTGCTGCCAGGTGACAACACAATGCCTCCAACCCGGTCCCCTTGACTCAGGCCAGTGTCCCTCTTCTATAAGCCAGTTGGCCAGGCAGCCAGGGCCATATCGGGCAGAGGCAGGCTGAGGGTTCTGGGTACTGTTTCTGTCCAACAGGTGTGGCAGGTTCTCCTCTACGGCTGCCAGTTTGCATGAGAGCCTCCTGTCTCTCCATTGGCAGCGGCTGAAGAGCATCCATTCCATCTGTAGGAGGGACACACGGTGCCTGTCTTCTGCAGCATGGGCAGGACTGGAGTGACTGCCCAAGCAGCTGACTCCGCTTGGCAGTGTCAGGCAGGGAGGTGAAGCTGTATCTAGTGTAGCAAAGGGAAGGCTGTGTGGGACGCTGATCCCCAGGTTCCAAGAGGGGCTGTTGGCAGGTGCTCTTGAGAACATGGATGTGGTTTGTTGGATTGGGCCTTCCTCCACACCTCCATTCTCCCACCTCCATTAGGGGTGACTCACACCTGCAGAAAGGATGAATCATGTGGGTTACGAAACCAAAGGGCTCCTGAGAGCGAGGCTGGAAAGGACCTTGGAAATCATCTACGCAGAGCATGCCGTCTCCCCATCCCCTCCTGTCCCCGCCTCTCACCTCCAGCTGCCAAGCCACAGACTCGGCGCGACAAGAGACGGCTCCTGGAACTGAGCATCAGAGAAGCAGCTTCCTTCCCACCTCAAGGCCTTCTAGAGCTTTCTGTTTCACTTCCTATATAGTAAGCAGCTGCAAGTGGGCCAGCGGGACCAGTGGATCCTGGGAGGGATGAGAGGAGAGATCTAGCAGCGATCCTCACCCTTCATAATTGCTTGCTCATGGTGTGAACATTTCCATAAATCTCCAGGGTGCTCCAGGTAATTATCCATAGGATGCCAAGCTCCTCCAGGCAGCAGGGGTGAGGATGATTCAACTCACTTTCCCACTGCTGGTCCTAGCTCAGTGGTGCTTTTAAGAGTGTACATGATCTAGTGAACGCCTACCACGTGGCAGGCCCTGGGCTCATAAAAACGAACGTTTATGGACAGCTTGTTGTACAGCAAAAGCTGCCCTCATCCTCAAATCAGCCCCACGGGGTAGATACCACAGTTCCCCCATTTTACAGGTGGAGCGCCTGCCCTCCGCCAGGACAGTCATTTGTCCAAGATCACATTGATGCTAAGTGGACGGCCTATGGGTTCACCTGCACAGCCAGCCCACCTCTTAGGGTGGGCTGCGGCCTCCGCGATGGGCTCTGCGCCGTGGCTTCTCGGGTACAAGCTCTTGAGCCCCCGTCAGCCAGGCTTGGTCGTTGGCTATCCGGTGCCTTCCCAGCAGTTTCTTCTCCCTGGGACCCTGCACGCTGGCGAGCCCACTGTCTCTAGGGAGGCGAGCGAGGCCGCTGGGCCTCAGAGGCCCCGCCGGATGAGTGCAGCCTCCGGGTGTCCCGCAGGTCTAGGGAACAGCGGACTCACCTGAGACGCCAGGGCCTCCCCGCTCCCAGCAGAACTCCCGGGGCCGAGGCCGCTGCTGGGGCGATCCTGCGTCCCGAGAGCCCCACAAGTCCGCGGAGAAGTTCCCCAGGTGGGGGCGTTTCGGGTCTCCCGGACGGGTCTCCGCTCCGGAGCCCGGTCTCAGGAGCGCGGGCCCGGGGACGCCGCCGGGCCGCGCGGGCGGGAACGCGCCGCGGCCGCCTCCTCCTCCTCCCTGGCTCCCGCCCGCGGCGGCGGCGGCGGCGGCGGCGGCGCTTCCCCGGCGCGGAGCGGCTTTAAAAGGCGGCACCCCACCCCCCCGGCGCACTCGCCGCTCGGGCGCCGCGCGAGCCTGCCGCCGCTATGCCTCCGCGCTCGCCGCCTGCGCCCGGGCCCCGGCCGCCGCCCCGGCCCGCCGCCGCCGCCGGCGGGCCCGGGCTCTGGCCGTTCGCGGCGCTTCCCTGGCGCTGGTTGCTGCTGCTGGCGCTGCCCGCCGCCTGCTCCGCGTCCCCGCCGCGCCCGGTCTACACCAACCACTGGGCAGTGCAAGTGCTCGGCGGCCCGGCCGAAGCGGACCGCGTGGCCGCGGCGCACGGCTACCTCAACTTGGGCCAGGTGAGTGCGGCCCGCCCCGCGCGCCCAAAACTTTCCCGGCGGCCTCGGGCGCGCGCGAGGGGGGCGCCTCCGCAGTCCTGTCCGCCCTGCCGCGGCTCCGGCGCCGCGCCGCGCGTGGGAAGGCTCCGGGACCGCTGGGGGACGGGGACGGGGACGGCGAGCGGCCGGGACGCCCTGCGGGGGATCGCCGGGGAGGGCGCACGCGGGACGCTCGGCGCCGGGACTCGGGGCCCCGCGTGGGGGCCCACGCAGGTCCGGCGCGCTGCCCGCAACTCCCCGGGCACAGCCGCCCGACCCTGCAGTCGGAAGCGTGGCCTAGGAAGCCGGGGTGGCGCGGGCACCTGCCGGGCACCGGGGGAGTCGGAGCTGTGTCGGGCGGCGCGCGCAGTCCGCCCCGCGGTCCAGAGCGCCCATCCAGCTCTCCGCAGTGGGGGAACTTGCAAGGACCGGGCCCTCTGCCCCTGACGGGCGGCGGGGCTGTGGACCCTGTGCGCGCTCCAAGGCGGCCGGCAGCTGCTTGAGTGACATGAGCGTGACCTGGCGTCTCTGGGACTCGCGCTCCCTGAGTGTCCGCCGCTTCTGGGGGTAGATGGTCTGGAGCCTGCACCCTGGAGCCTGGCCGCGGTCGGAGAGGCTCTGGGACAGCGCAGGACCCAGCAGGGCCGAAGGTCCTGGGTTTAAAACCTCTGCAGGAGCCGAGGGAGGGTGCTTTGTTTGTGGGCTCCTTCCGCGGATCCCATGGCAGAGCGGTGTGACCTTAGGCAGGTCACTTCCCTGACTTGCTCCTTCTTTTGCAGTCAGTGACAGTGTCTACACTGTGCGGTTGTCGGAAAGAGCTACTGTTGCATTGCCACAGAGCCTGGACCGGGGCCTGGCCCTTAACTATCCCCATGGGGCCAGCGAGCAGCCCTCCCTGCCCCGCACCCAACGGGCTTGGCTGTCACCCCTTCTGTCAGTTAGCAAGCAGACCACGCCCTGGGCACAAAGGTACAGCCATTACTCTCAAAGGACCGCTCCGGCGGGTCCCCTTTTCCTCTTGTAACCGGCAACTGGGCTGAGGATTGATCCCAGACTTATGGATCCTGGAGTTTGGGGTCACACCAGGGGACCTCTCAGTGCAGTTAACAAATCTACAGACTACACACTCAGAGGATTAAGTGAAGTGACAGGGAAGCGCGGCCTCATAACTCAAAACCCTAGTGCCAGGCAGTGTTAAATTTAGTTTCATCATCATCCATGGCAGAAGCCAGCAAGGTGTGGTGTGGCCCTGTTAGAAATGACATTTCTTCTGCATCCCAAGCCCTACGTCGATGTGCTGTTAGGTGTGTGGCCTGCTGGAGGGGTAGATGCTAGTATTTGAATGACAGAATCTTCGCAAGGCTGGTTCGAGTTTATCTGAAAGAATGCTAGCACATCTTTTGTAGACCTTATAAATATATATATTACATAGTAAATGTTATATATATATATATATACACACACACCACACACACACACACATATATATGGCACTCAAGTCCCTCCAAACATCCTGTGATTTCAAGTTTGCCTTTGGGTAGCACTGACTGCGTTTGTCTTTAGTTTCTGAGTCTCCCTGGCTAATTGTCCAGATGGAATAAGGTGTTCCTTATGTTTGCTTAGAGCCCCTGGCTCCTGCCACACTTCGCTGCTGTGCCCAGGATTTTGTCTTCAGCTAAAAGTGACTCTTAAACTACACGGTAAATTACAAAGTGCCTGGGTTTGGGGATCCTAAAATTAAATGAGCAGAATGGAGCTGAAGTTGAGCTGTGAGCTCCCCCACACTGCAAGAGAGAGGCAGAGAGGCACAGGAAACTCTCCCTGGAAATTTTTGTCTGTGGGAATAAAAATGCCCAACACTTTGTCATGCTGGCACTTTGAACCAACCTCTGTCAGACTCACTGAGTTCCTGATGTTGCTGATAGGAGAGAAGATTTCTCCCGTGCACACTCTCCACCCAGGATATTCTGGGGAGTCTCTCGGGGTCTCCCCAACTGTGTCCAGTACAGCCAGGGTGAATTCCACACAGCCTGGTCACTCAGGCATGGTCCGGGAAGTGGCAGTGTGGTGACATTCACTAACGCAGGGATTAGCAGGTTGAAGATAGGACCTGTCTCAGAGGCTTGTATGTGATTACTCACGGAGGGCCTATTACTCTTTCTTCCAAAATGAGCTTTTCTTCCCCCACTCTAAGTGCACTGCTAATGTGGAAAAGGCCCGGAGCATTTCAGCCACTACCCACTCAATAGGAACTCTTTAAAAACCTTATTTGTCTTTTTTTAGCCAGGAGAATTTGTGACTCATAAATAAGATATAGATATTATTAGCTTTGACTTCCAGATGAGCGAATAGGGGTGAAGGAAGGGAAGGAAGTTGTTTGTGTTCACATGGCATGCATATGTCACCTCTGACAGTCGCACTCCCTGCTTATTTCCTTCTGCTGTATTCTCTGGTCTGAGATCCCCTTTGTGAAACTCTTTCTCCAGTGCCTTAATAGGCACTTAGTGTTATGTTCTATACCTGCCCGCATCGCAGCCCTGGCTTTCTCCCGGAGCTGCTGTGCTGTGAGTTCTTGCTTGCCTGTTTTACTTTCTTCCATTACAACTAACAACCAGAGTCAGTTTATTTTACATGGTCCGGAGGTAATTGAGACCTGGGATTATTCACCTTTCTTGAGTCATGGCTCCCTTTCAGCATCTGATAAAAGCTGTGGATCCTCTCTGTTGTAAAATAGGCATCACCAGGGACAAGACAAGATAGCCTCTTTTTGTCCCTCTACTCATCATTCCAGGTAACACCACAGGATTTCAAAGGGAATAAAAATGTGGAAGCGTCCAATGTCATTATCAGCAGATGACATAAATACATGGATAATCTGAAAGAACCTAGAGATTAACCACTCGAGCTAATAAGAGAGTTGATGACCGTGCATGGCAGCAGCATCTGAGAAGATAAACGAAATCATTCCTCATTCTTGCGTAAAAACAGCAAGATCCTTTGAAATAGGTTGTTTAAAAAGGTGAGACGTTTATAGAGAAACATAACACATTTAGAAGAAGGATGAAGAAAAGAAAGTCAGAATAAATGGAGAGATGTATTTTGTTCATGTAGAGGGGGGCTGGCTCTTATAGTTGCCCCAATTTAATCTGCAAATTCAATGTAATCCACTTTAAGCCCTGACAAGATTTAATATGGAATATGAAATCACAAAAAGAATTATAAAATTCATATGGAAGAGTAAGGTCCAAGAATAGCTCACACAACTCTGGGAAGGAAGAGGTGGGGAGCTGTGGTTCAACATGGTAGGTTCAACCACAGTTTAACACGGACCCAGTCCATCAATAGAATCGACTCCAACCCAAGCACGTGTGGAACTTGAGCGAGTGGGCTGAAGAGTTACACACGGATGGGGAAGGATGGGTGATTTACTACATGGTGGGAGAACAGGCTCTCCCCACGGAAAAACAATTAGATCCTTACGTTACACAATGGCACATTCCAGATGGGATTAAAGACTGTATGTAAAACTTTTAGAAAGAAACACAGTAGAATACCTTTGTCACATTGAAAAGGAGTTCCTCAACAATGCATGAAAATAAACAGATTTTGAAATGAAGAGATTGATGCATTAAGTTAAAATTGTCTTTAAACAAAGGCATCATCGCATAGTTAAAAAGCAAGTAATAGACTGGGAAAGTATTTACAACACATAACAAGCAGATTAGTACACAGATTATTTTAAAAACTATAAATCACTAAAAAAAATGATACATGCCAGGTAGAAAAATAGGGAAGCTTATGAATAGAGAAGTCGATGAAGAGAAATCCAAGCAGCTAGTAAACATAAGAAATCATGCCCAGCTTTACTGAGCCTCGCTGGGGGTTATTGGAGCACTGCGATCGAGGCACTGATGAGACACCATTTCACACCTACCAGACTGCCCGACGTGGAACTTTTTAGCATCACGTGCCGGCAAGGATACAGAGCAATGGGAATTTTCAGTTGCTGCTGGTGGAAATGGGTATAGTTTAGAAAGGAATTTGGCAATACACGGCGAGGCTGAACTGTGCTGGCAAATCCCACTCTAGACAGATCTTGGAAGAACTCTCACGCATGTGCACAAGGAGACTGGTGTAAGAATGTCCATGCTGGCGTTTTTTAAATGAAGGGAAACTTAAAGTAGAATAGAGAACTAAATCAAAATAGTCACACTATAGAAGATTCTACAGTGGTTAGAAATGAATAAACCAGATCTGTGTCTACACAGATGAATCTCTCAAATACTGTTGAGAGAGAGAAAAAAAGGCAAATTGTAGATGTCCTATGTGATCTTATTCACGCAAACATTAAGAAACAAAGCAATACCGTGTTAATTATGGATGCTTATAGATGTAGTAAAAGAATGGAAGTGTGGGCTGTAAGGGTGTGCATCAAATTCTGGTTAGCAATGGCCTCTAAGAGGGGAGGGAGCAGGGAGTAACTTCAAACTTTATCTGCGGTGCACTGCTTTACAGCACACAGGCGTATGTGTG